GGATTCATCGTACTGTCCCATGTGAATGCGCCTAAGTGGACGTTTAACTTTCCCGTAGAATTCCAAGATCGCTAGAGAAAACAGTGCAAGTATTCTATATGTTAGTGATGTTCTGTTAAATACAAAACACTCAGGCTGCAACTTACCAGGCTTGTCGATGTGATTATGCGTTTTTGCGCCAACCTTGCATATCGCTAACAGCACGAATGAACCCTGCGTTGCAGTTTAACATTTGTCCTCATGTTGGCTGTGTTTTGGCTTCTCGCATGCAGAAAGAAAGGGAGTCAGTTGGGATGCAAGTGTTGCATTATGGGCTGTGCGGCCCTCTAGAATTTAAAATTTTAGCCTCACACGTGCATAGAGAATATCCCTGCAAGGAAGTTTCAGCTTTGCATCTTGCCTGGCTCGCGAAATCGTCCCCGCCAGAGGGATTTGCATATTTTTCTCGGTGGCCCGTACACGAGATCTACGCGTATGAGCGAACAATTCAAGAAGAGAAAGTGACACATGAGGTAGGAAAACCACTTCAAAATTTCAGCCTTCCAGCTTTTTTGGTTGCAGTGTTGAAAGTAAGTGACAAAGTTCACTCGCCTCTAAACACGCACACGAGCGACATCTCGACAAAATGCGTTTTTGCTAGCTGTAGTAGCGTTGCATAGTAAAAACGCATAAAAATACATTACAGATTCTGGCGGAAGTGCTGAGCAGCATCCTGTGGAAGACCTGCAGCTTTTAAAAACTGTTCCAGGATGACAACTGCTTCATCCTTTTCTTTACGCAATCGCATAATGGACCTGAAACACTCTTTTACCGTGGAAAGGAATGAATGAATCGGCAAAATAAGTATCTCCAAGGAATCAAAAAACTGAAAAGGTGCAAAAATCGACCGCTTTTTTTACAGTACTTCTGCAAAATCTTCTTCCCAAGGGTTACAATCAGCGTAAGAAATCTCGAGCAGCTGCCCCTTTTAACTATATAAAATAAAATTTTATTAAAATCATGTACCCAAGATTCTGACAAAAGCATCCACTTTTTAAGTCAGCAGCCCTCTTTGTAGCCTTACTATTCCCACACCCCCTATCACATTATTAACTCGAGAAACCACTGCCTATGATATGCCCTTGACCTTGACCTTACCTTCCAATTTCTTCTAATTTTAAGTTAGCACTCAACCGGCTTCTTCAAATCCATCTTATTAGAGTTTATCTGAACTAATCCTTCTGCGATTTATTTATTTTTTCCGACAAAACTGGTATTAGTACATGCCATGGAATCAAACTCGCCATCAACTTGCTTCTAAGCAATGTCTAAAGCGAAACGGCTGCCTTGCCAAAGAGCGGTTGCTGTTGGCATTTGCTAATACTTCCGATTACCTCCTTTGTCCCTAACAAATACATTGAAGACTTTAAGTATTCTTTTCGTCCTGTACCCATCCCATTATCAGATTATCTCAGTCTTAACACTTCGAGTGTATGTTTAATTTTTCACACCTCCCCCCTCCACCCTACGGGAATCTAAAGGTCAAGTCCCTTTATGAACATACTGAGCTAAATTTCCACAAAAATACCTTCGATCAAGTTTGAGTTGCTCCTTTTCAAGGTATTTAGCAATAAGTTGTTCGACGGCAAGCGCAAAATCACGATTGTTTGTTACGCCAAGCATTTGGTAAGCTTGTTGCCGTAACTTTTCACGTGGTGTCAACAAGAATATATGGGCCAGTGCATTCGCTATATTACCAGCTGGCTGGAAATTTAGACATGCTACATTTTTTCACCAAACAGGTTATACGCAGTTTCACGCTACTGGCGGATTCGGGGGGCGGGGAGAAGGCGAGAGATCTTCTGTTCTCCCTCCCTCCTCCCCCCCCCCCCCCCCC